GGTCTCTCCTCATGAAGTAGATAAATACTGTGAATATGTCCGTTACATGTAGTTGATTAAAAGGCAAACCTGTCATCATAGTATTGGACTGAAGCTCGTTCGTTATCTTGACATGCATCCTGAGACTTCCTACCCCACACACACACTCACACACACACTCACACACACGCACACACGCACACACACATATTTCAGCGGCAGGCTGTCTGAAATTTTCTGGAAATTTTCAGGAGTGCATGTGTGAAAACAGAAATACATCAAGCATTTAATGACTTTATGACGTGCCAAATAATTAACTTAAGAGAAAAGATCAAGATTGATGTTTAACTGCTCAGCATGTGCTTAAAAAAATACACAAGGTTCATTATTATGAGACAAAGTACGTGAGATGAGACCTTGAAAGTGAGGCAATTTCTGAGAGTCATCACCGACCATCGGTTCCAGAAGGCAATTTATAATGAGTCCCCTGGATAAAATAAGTGTCTGTTTAAGTGATCCATATCCCCCCTACTGACCCCCTAAATGCAAATATGCACCTCTTCCACCTCACCTTTTTATTTTATTATTTCTATTTAACCTTTATTGAACCAGGTTGGCCCCATTGAGATTAAGAACCTCTTTTTCAAGGGAGACCAGGCCAAGACAGACAGCAGCAAAAACACAAAGTTACAGACAGAGACACAGAAAGAGACAATTTACAAAACATTACATTTTGCATTAAAATAGAACCATCTAGGAGTCAAATCTGGGCCTGACTTAACCTGACTTAAACACAAGTTCGAAAAGACTTAGCTGGGGGATATCTGGGAACGACAGTAAAGTACCTACTGTATAAGAATCATGTTGTTTTAGACAAGAAAGGAGTGACAACATGCTGTAACAGGTCTCTGTGACTCAGGCCGAACAACAGGATAACTCAAATGCCTTACAGGTGGAAATGCAGCATAATACAGTTCTGAAGAAGTTTGTCAACAAACCCATTCCCCTCCCTCCTCCCACCCACCCAGCTCAGGTCAGAACCAACCACATATGACACACACACACACACATACATTCACTCAGACAGCACATTAGACTAGCTAGGTGACTAGCCGCCTGCACAGCGAGGTAGAGGAGTTATTAGAGCGATTTAGTCCTCACCTGAATCTGGGGATAAACTAAGGGAGTCAACATATAATAAGAAAGGACTCCATGTACTTTGGAATGTCTTGGCAGAACTGTGAGTGAGAATCTGAGTTTTAGATTAGAGAGGACTTCTTTAATCCAACGGCCATGTGATGGGGGGGGGCGAGCGAGCTTCCAATCGAGCAGGATTAGTCGCCGGGCCAGCAAGGTTGTAAAGGCACGCTTTGTCACCACAGAGAGGGTGGTATCAGGTGGTATGCCGAAAATGGCTGATAGTGGATTAGGAGGAATGGTCTGGCCGTATGAAGCTGGCTGTTTTCTAGTCAGATTTTCATTCCTGCTGCTTTTTCACTTTTTTTTTTTTTATTTGCCTGAAGAATTAACCGCTTCCTTCCTGCTGCAGTCATTTCCTTCATCTTCGACTGTCTGTACTCCGGCCTTTTTTTTTTGTTGTTCCCTTTTTTTTTTTTCCAACTTTTGTATGCTCATGTTTAGCATGTGTGTTCAGCAAATCAAAACGTTCACTGTTTTAACAAGTGAAGGTTGGTTTTAGAAGACAAGTTGAAACGTGTTGGAATTCAAAATTTAATTAATTGAACTTGTTAATACATTTCCACTTTTGGGTCAGTAATATGTCAGCAGGTAACTTGTTGAACTTGATCCCATTCATGGGTCAACCACAGACCTTTGCATTGCCCCCACCCCTCAGACTCTTGGGGACTGGGTCACTCTACCCTTTAATCCCCCTGATGGCAGGGCTAAACTTCATATGAACCTTCTTAAATGTCATCCATTGATTTCTCAGCATCAATAATCTTTCAACTTTGCAGGGCTCGATAGGGGAGCCAGGTTTCCCAGGCATGCCGGGTGCCACTGGACTGCTGGGGTTTAAAGGCCACAAGGTGAGAGTCAATGCATTTTATAACATATACATACATATAATACATAGAAAGACCTGCATGGCTTTATGGACATAATGAAGTCTACAATGGCAACAGAGGTGACACTTCATGAATGATTTATGCTTCTGGTTGTCAGGCATTTTTACATTTACATGTTGTGTTGTAGAAGTGCCGACAGCTCAACGTAATACATACACTTGTTAATGTATAATTCATACCTTACTAAGATGACATGATACATTTTAATGGGGCTGAAGGTTGTCCTTCACACTTCAAAAGCTTTAAATACAGTACAAGCCAGATCAGCCTGGCTAACACACTGTGTTTTGTTTTTATGAACAGGAAGCTGTCAAGGCGACAATAATGCTTCAAGTTCTAATTCATCACGCAGCATATCGCTATTTAGACGGCAAACTGTCAGTGCCAAGACAAGTATCTGTACTGAACTGTGAGTTAAACATGTTGGGATATTTTGTTGTTGTGTCTTCAGGGGGAGAGGGGAGAGCCGGGATCTAAAGGACACCAGGTACGATTCATCTTCTAACAGGAGAGTGATGTGCTCGTGGTCATTAGAATAGACTCTATTATGTATGTGTTGATAATTAAGTCACACTAATCCTGCATCAAAATATGATCCTCCATTGAGAATGAACAGAAGCCAGTTCTTACTTTCCACTTAATTAAGCTATGACTATGAGGTCTGTCGCCCTTTGCTTTTAAAATGACACAACATAGGTGCCCTAAAGCGGTGCGGCAGTAGCTCTGTCTGTAGGGACTGGGGTTGGGAATTGGAGGGTCGCCAGTTTACTACCAAGTCCCGTTGGTAGCTGAGAGGTACCGGTTCACTTCCTGAGCACTGCAGAGGTACTCTTGAGCAAGGCACCAGACCCCCAACTGCTCTGGCGCTCTTTCATGTGCACCCCCCGCACTCTGACATCTCTCCATAAATGCATGTTCATTGGAACCTGTTTATGCATGCATGCGTATTTTATCCTGTGTGTTTGTAGCCAGTCTCATTAACAGTGTTAAAGTGATTTCCCCTGGTGGGATTAATAAAGGATATTGTAGATTGTAATGATGAAACTGTGTGGGGCTACTTGAAGAGCTGCCATTTTTGACAAGTTGGCAATTTAAACATGAATTTTATTCACTGATTTTCATCATCTACTCCTGGTAACAGCTCGTTTTTTGTCCAATCAGTGCATGAAAAAAAGTAATCAAGTAAAACGGCACAACAATAGTTTATTATTATGTGTGCTTTTCTTTTGTTGGCTATCCTGCTTTGCCTGCTGTAACGCTGTACATGTCTCAGTTGTGCGATGAATAAAGGATGATCTTATATTATCTTATCTTATCTTAAAAGAGGAGGCTTAATCATTTATCATTTAGTCTTTAAAAATAAAAACAAATCATTTGTTTAAAAAAAAGGGGGAGGGGTCAATTATGGTGCGAAGGAGCATTTCACTTGTTGTCATTTTTCATATCACTGTCCTGGCTCATGTCACACATATTCAAATATTTAAAAAAATGGTTAGTCAGTGTTCATTTTTGTCAAAACAGATGTATACATTTGAAATGTCTTGAGAAAAAAAAATACATCCTGTGTATTCTTGAGGTTTAAAAAAATCAGGTGTTAAAGGCTTTTCTTTCATCATTAATCATTTGAAGAGCTAACTTCTTTGTTAGAAGTCTTTTCGCTTGTCTTTCACTGGCTCATTGCTTTCATAGCATAGAACTGTCAGCAGGACTGTGTACCTCATTTCCCATGAGCCCTTTTTTGCACATGAATGTGCATCCTTTGTGTTGTTGGGAGATAGAAACAAAACGAGACTCAGCAGGGTACTTTGTGTAGCACTGAGGCACTTCTTTAAAGGTGTTTACATACCATTGCCTTCTGTTGAGACTAAGGAGGAGTGCCATATGCGAGGTATAAGGAAATGAAAATGTCAAGAATCAAATCTAAATACTGAGCGTAAAGCTAATCTTTTTGCATAGGTTCCAGGTATGACACAAATATGAATCAGAGGGAGAAGCTTTTCTATACATTTTTTATGATCTTAATACTGGATCTTTATTTCTTCTTCTTTTTCTGAATACAAGAATATATAGAGATGATATTTTTCTTGTCTTATACTTGCCACTAACACTGGAAGTTTATCAGTATTCTTGCATTTTAACTCAAGTTAAGAAATGCAGAGCTAATAAATGACATCATAAGCTCCAGATAAAAAGAAGAAGATATACTTTATTAATCCCACTTGGGGAAATTCTATTTGTTCTATCTGTTGTAGAACATGCTACACACACACATATGCTGAAATAAACACACATGCACAAACAGGATCCAGGCATGGTCCGCCCTCTAATTCCCAACTCAAGTCCCTACAGATTGAGCTACTGAGCTAACGTAACATCCCCGAAAGCTGAGCTGCATATCACTACTCTGACCCTGATTATCATAAACTATTAATAAGGATTCAACAACAATCAATGCACTTCTATTGCTCTCATTTACTTCACACTCTTAGTGGTAAGAAGGATCAGAGGAATGTTCAAGTAGTCTTTGATATCTTCACGTCTGAGTGAAAATGTAAGAAACCAGTCCCGACTAATGTAATGGTTTCATTCACAGAGAACAAAGTCACATGCTTGTGCAATATATGAGCTGCAGATAATTTGTTTTTCTGGTTTTCCGCTGCTGCTCAGGAGCACAGCAACAAGATGTCACCTTGTTGTACTTGTACGATTGTGAACACAGCATCAGTCAGAAATGGAACAATCAAAGCATGTGATGAATGCTCTGATTCAGTTGCTTGCCTTTACACGCACTAATGGAAGACAGTGTGACAGCCCAGAGGAGCCGAGAGAGAAAGAGCAGAGCAGGGTGTGTGTGTGTGTGTGTGCACTGCTGCAGGATGCAGTTAGAAAAGACACACACGAGATAAAAAGTCAGGTTTGTTAAAGGTCACCACTAGCCAATTCCTATCCCCTCTCTCCACGGGTTTCTCTTATTGGCTGCTAGTGGTAATCATGACCTTTTCTTTATTCTCACACACACAGCCAGGATGAAGACATGGACCAACACACACAGCTAAATTGACACACCCGTTGTAGCACACATTCAATCTCACCCTTTCACACACACACACACACTGCATGAAGCCACACAGGCATGTATGTAAACAAACTCACACAAACCTTCTGTTAATCATGACATATCTGTTTGCAGGGCGAGTCTGGCAGAGACGGAGAAGATGGGACGCCCGGTGTACCTGTGAGTGCAGAGTCATTTTTCTTCCACTGGGTGGCAGCGAAGCTTATGTTTTCTTTTTTTGCCTTCAGCAGGGATATTCAAATTTGAGTGTTCGTGTGAATGTACGGCAGATAGGGGACAAAATGTCCCCACAAGGGCACATGGATAGGGGAATATCTCGGCTGGGTTTTTTTTCTTTTTTTTTTTTTTTTTCAAAAAGCTGCATCGGTGTTAGATCTTTAGTTTACATTTTTGGGAAGCCTGTTTGTAGTCGTATCATAAACCCTTTGATGCAAGTCATCATACACACTTTATCACAAATACATACAGTGGTAATAAACTCCACCAATATAAAACATTAAACTGACTTTACAGGCTGCTTTACAAGATTAAAATTAAGCCTGCATAAAAACAAACACACGCTATAGAGCAGGACAAAATGAGAAAGGAAACGTTTGAGATGAGAGCATAAGTCATCATGGAAGCTCTTCACACAGTGGTCAAAATCATCAGTCCAAAGGAAAACCAAATGCAGTCTAAAAAGTTAACGCTCAGCAGAGGAGCTTACGTCTGGCCTTTCTGCCCTGAAGAGTTGGAAGAGCCAATGATGACACTCAGGCAGAGAAGGCTGAATTACAGGACTTAGACTTGAATTCAATGGTCCGTTTACAGTCTTACTGATGGTAACTTTAAGAATTCAGACCAGGCTATCATATCACAAAGTGATGGAAGGAAAGCATATCAGACAGCATGTCTGAGTATGAGATCCCTCACAGCAGAAAATATACGTTCTCAGGAATCGTCTTGATCAGGAGGTTTTCATAAACCACATTTCATATCACCAGTTCAAGGTGGGATATTCACGCCCCCGTAAAGCCTCGCCTTCAACATAAATGTTACAGAGAAACGCAGTGGTGACACCAAGTCGTCCCTGTGCTTTGCCAACATTACAGGTAGTGATAGGTGTAACAAAAGTGAGATGGGATCACAGTAAGATGACAGAGACAGAACAGTGAAACAGTGCCGTGTAAGCACCAGATGACAGCAGAGCTTTGTTATGACACTCCTGCACTGTCAGATCTAAAAAGGGTTAAAAAACTCGAAATCTCCTGCCTCCATAACTGCACTCACTAATTGTTGCTAACGACTGCTGCAATAACTTGATTGGTTGGAGGCCAAAGGGCTGCTGATTTATCTTATTCCTTATCCTATTGGTTTATTCTCTCTCTATTTTTTTCATCAAGTTTTGCCAACTTCAACTGTCTTCCCCGGAGACTTCAAAGAAACAAATGAGTTCACTGCCATGTAGTTTAAAGCATCCAAAGATTGAAAAGTTTTCTTGTCAAAAAGAGCTCATAAAGGAAATCTCACAATAAGCAAAAGGGACGGAGAGGCCATTTCTTTTGACCTAAAGTTGGAACGTAAGCTTGTCATGGTTCTCTTGAAGCAGAGCTGCTTAGGTCATTTCCTTTAAGTATTTGAACGTGTTGTTGTGGTTGGTGAGGGCCTGTGTCCACAGACAATGTTTTTAGTAATATCAGTGCCTGTTTTATATTCAAAACCAATGTAGTTCAGCGTTTTTTCTGCACTCTCAGTAAAAAAGAAGTTAAACTCTCAGAACAGCGCCTAGCTCATCAATGTCACTTCCCCCTCACAGCAATGGCGGGCGGAGGAGACGCTAGTCTGACTCGTCTTTTCGAGGGTACAATCTCCAGGTCCAGAGATGCTGCTAATGCCAGGAGACAACTTCTTTACATCGTTTTCATGTTTTCTTGGTGCTATTTCCTTGAATGAAATATGAAGCAGACGGAGCTATCTAAAACACACCTTACCACCATTACAGAAGTTAGCAGAAGTTAACTTTCGTAACCTAGCAACAATAAGCGCTAGCAAGAAACGCTCTTATATCGAGGTCATGAGCGCTTCAAATTAAGAAAATAAACCACCATCTGTGGTAACAGGCTGTTGGACAGGGATCGTTTTGGTTTGTTGTTTCAATTTAAACCATCTGAAAGGTCAAGATAAAACATTAGTTGAAGTCTGAATTCCAACTATGTGGATGAGATATCTTTTAAAATTGCAAGCAGACAATGCATGGGAAATGATTGGAATCTTGACAACAAGGTGAAATGAGGCTCCAGAAGGTGAGAGAGGAACATTTGCATAATTGATTCAACATGTTTATCCGTGTCGAGATTACCATCCTCATCAATAATTTGTAATGAACAAACATAGTGATATGAATTGCTATGTGATCTGCAATTCCCAGCTCTCATGCTAAGCTTTGCAATCGATCCTTTTTAATAGGAACAATACCAAATGAGTAGCATTTGAGAATTGATCTGTATACATCGATTGCCGAGGCATTGATCTTCACATCCCTGGATGCCTGGATGAGGTTTGGACCATAAATCCAGTCAGGGGTGTGTGGGTGTGTGTGTGTGTGCGTGTGGGTGGGTGTATGTGTGAGAGCCAGGCAGAAGCTACATTTCATCATCTGAAGAGTTGTGTAGTCTCGTCTGTGACTCTTGAGACAGATAAAAACGATTGTATTTCTCAGTATGCTGCTTAATGTTCACACTCTGTAATTCCACAGTGTCGAGAGCAGCCCAGCCTCCATGTCACACGCTCTCAAGGCTAAATGCACCAGCAGTGAATCACAAGTGTGTTACTGCTCAAACGAATATGACATATTTTTGTCTTGAGACAGACTTCCTTATTCGTGTGCTGGGTGAAATAAATGTATCTCTGCGCTGCTGTTCATTTGAATTCCTGTTCTATTTTCCTGGTTTCCTTCCTCATTATGAAACGTTTCAGGCCCCGAGGTAATTTGGCCTATACATTACAGGAGAAAAGTGAGCCTCCTGTGCATGTTATAATACAAACACCTGTCAAAAACAATGCAGACCAAAGCAATATATTTGTAATGTTTCTTTACCTGAATGCACTCAAGTTCTTCTGCTGAAGGATTAAGTCCTTATCAGCAGATTTAGTTTACTCCGTTGTAATCCCTATTTACAGAATCTGCATATAAATGTTGAATCTGTCCACGGGGGCCTGGATTGTCAGCATGGGAAGTGTTCTGGTTTCCAATTGCTTCTACATTTGTAGTGCGAACTGAATTGACCAATTTTGTATCAACATGCTTTGGTGTAGATTGGAGAAACAGTCTGTGTGGACAGCGAAACGAGGCGGGGTGTTATCCAGGTTAAAGACATACTACTTCCTATTGGTGGTAATCTAACAATGATTTAATGATCTCTATAAATAGATTTATCTGGATAAAAGTGTTGCTAACAATCCATTACAGATCAATCATTTCAACTTGAGCCACACATCTGCTTGACACTTTGTCATAAAAGCCAATAAGTGTTTAGATTTTCTAGACCTGAAACGCATCAGACATGATCAATCCGACCTCCATTCAACAAACACACATTTGTAAAGTTGTGTTCTTCTGCTCTTAAGGACAGACCTGTCAAAGCATATTTACTTTTGAAAAGTCTTTAATGTTTTTTAACTTGAACTATTTTTTAAGATGAGATAATAGTCGCAAAAACTTTAAAAAAATGTAATTGATGACTATTTGAATATATGAAAATCCTGACCCATCCCTTTTCCACTGGCAGTATACATTAAGGTTGTGAATACATTACCCAACTAGGAACAAGAGTTGGAAATTAGCAATAGCTATAAAGTATCCATATTTGTGAACGCAATATCTTATAAATGCTTGATGGATGCTTCCTCTCAATTGTTGCATTTTTTTATTTTTTTTTGTTCCTTTTCAAAAAAAATGTTTCATACGTCTTCTGGAAGAAAGCTATTTTAAATTAATGAATCCGTTAGAGCCCTCTTTTTGTTAGAAAGTTACAGATGGATGTAAACTGCAACTCGACTGGTGGGCAAAGGGAATACAACCTGTGAGGCAATGGTTTGTAGTTTTTATGATATATACGTACATATATAGAATACGACCTAGATTCTCAATCTTTGAAGTTTGCAATAAAAGGCTGGAGTTCAGCATGTGACGTAGATTAGCACAGTATCATCTCAGGGTCATGAAATAGTCAGCTTAATAAAACACAAAAGCTGTTCTCTGTGATGTGAAATCTCACCATGGAGGAAGTGAGGAAATACAGGAAGGAGATTGAGCCTGCGAAGGAGGCACAGGTTCACGGCATGGAGAGTTGTTGAGCACATCCATTACAGATAAAGTGACCCTTTTACCAGGATCAGTCTAATGCATTTTCTATACAGTCCACAAAGTGTAAGAGTAATGTTGGCAGCAGCTCCTGTCCTATGTTTTAGACCTGCTCTCTAAGCGCAATGCACAATCAATATGTTGGAAGAAAATAGACTTGTTGCAATGACGCAAGAGAAATTATGTCACAGGGTGTTGTGAGGTCAGATTTGATGGGTGTATTGATTCAAATTGAAGTGTGTTTGATGTTTTATGAGATAGACATGTTTGTTGAAATTTATTGGGTGAAATAAGGAGGTGACAGCCAATAACTGAAAGGGGTTTCTGTTTTTTTTTCTGAGAAACTTTTGTAGGTACAGAGCCACTAAAGATCTATAAAGCCCCCAGGCCTGCATGGATGTTTCAACAGTGTTAAAACACATGGCTCCAAAAAGCTTGCAGCCCAGTGGCAAGGTCATAGAACATGCCAATATAGCTACCATCAATTGTCTGCACACAAGTGGAGATTTGAATAAAGCTGACCCTACCTAAACTCCCCCAAGTCGCATCACTGACTTTCTAATGAGTCTCCTATTGGATATGGGTGGTGCCTTTATTATCCACATGACAGTAAACTACATTGATACAGGTGATTCCTAAAGACCAAGCTACATTTCAGGAAAAGGCATCTATGGATTAAAATGGAAAAGAGTAAGCACTGTCGAGCAAACAGAACACACCCAGAGCCTCAGACAAATCCTTATTATACTTCATTTGAAAAAGAAAACTCTTAACAGAATACGTGTTACTACTGGATGGTGTTTTTTTTTTTTTTTTTTAAGGACGAGTGGATCCGAAGATGCAGTTTTCATCAAGTTACAAGAAGAAGCACAAAAATGGCTTTAGAGAAAGCATTACAATAACCAATCTAAAATGTTTTGTAAGCCAGGGGTTTTGATAGAAAAGAGAGCCATTCTGCATCAGCAATGTGGAGCAGCGAGGATAGCTCGTCTGACATACCAACTCTGTCTTTGATATGTAAGCAGAACTTTCTAACTGTCTCTCTCTATTTCTCCCTCTTCCCTCTTCCACCCCACCCTTCCCTGCTCTCTTTCCTTTCTTCCATCAGGGCGAAGTGGGACCCAGGGGATGGAAAGGAGAGGTTTGTCGAATTAGACTTTGCGGTATTAGATATAATCCATTCTGTCTTATTCTGCAGCGCACTGAGAAGCCCTGTCAAGCCTGTACGGCTGCCATAGACGACTTGCAGAGCCAATACCTCCAGGCTGGGGGGAAATCTGGCCCCATGGGCAAAAATATACATCACAAAAGCCGTCTCTCAGAAGACGAACACATCTGAAATATCAAACACTTACTGTACTGTCAGCAGAATCACAAATTATGGAGATACAGCCTCCCTTAGCTGAGCATGTTGATTGAACACTATTTAATAGAAGAAAAACGACCCACCTTTTTAACAAGCTTTTTAAATCACTTTCAATATGTTTGTAAGAATGTAAAATAATGCCGTCATTACTTTCAAAGCGAACTCCTGCACAACAAAGATGGGGAAGTCTACAACATTTCAAATGTACACCAGGCAGAATATCCAACAGTGTTCACAATGGGGATATAATTTAATAATTCAATTAAAATATATGTTTTTGAATGTTACCTGTAAGTTCACACTCTAATGTAGTCACCAAGGCTAAAGATATGACCTTTTGCTTTGTAAGTTACAGACATTAGCAACACTTTATAGTGAGCTAATTAGCCTGACAGCTAATGATTGGAGCTTAAATCAGTGCATTCATGAAGACCTCACACTCTTTGTTTAGCATTTTCTTTAACCCAAAAAGTATCTCTTAAACCTTGACAGTAAGTCCATGCAGGTTACTTTTATACAAAGCAGTGTTGAGGTCAAATTTTTGGGAGAAAGATTTAGCAAAAAGTCGATTTCTTCTTTCTGCCTCAGTTTCACTTTTTTTTCTTTTGCAATCTGAGATTTTCTGTCCTCTCTCTTGATCTTTCAGAAAGGAGTGACAGGGGATTTTGGCCTTAGGGGGACTGAAGGAAAGAAAGGAGAGATGGGCCATATGGGTGCTGTTGGTCCCCGGGGATTTCCTGGCCAGGACGGGTTGCCGGGACTACCAGGTCATTCAGGATACCCTGGAAAACCTGTGAGTTATTCTCCTCCTGACCATCACTACTGAGTGGATCTTTGGAAGAAAAGAAAGAAAACGCACTTAAAGAAGCAGTCAGAGACTTTCCTGTCTGGGGTGGGGAGTTATGTTTGTGAGTAATGAGTGTGTGTGGGCTTTGAGAAGGCACAGAATGGAGGGTTAAGCAGATCCGGTAAATCCTTAGGCATGCTCAACCACAAGTTGGGTTTTCCCAGTCCCAGAGTTGACTAAGCTGAATCAAAGTGTAATTTTGTGTTGCAGGGCAAACCTCCCTCAGATGAACATCTTCTTAAGCTCTGCTCGGATGTCCTGCGTAGTAAGTATCTTGTTTTTTGTCTTTTATGAGAATCCAAGTTCAAAAGCCTCCGTCTGAAACTCCACATACATCTAACAGAAAAGAGAAACAGGTTAGTAGGCTGACAACACAAACGGAAATAATGTCTATATGCACAATAGTTACCAGCTGGCCTTAATGTAGTCCCACAGAAGTATACTGAAGGACTGAAGAACCAGGGAATATATGCACCATAGGCTGATGATTTGATGAGAGACAGGAGGCTGAAGGAGGCAGGGGGTAGAGCAGGTGAGGAGAACTGAGGATGGGAACGCCCAGAGACAAACAGATACAAGAAGAAAAACAAGGGAGGGCAGGAACACTGGGGAAATGCACAAGGTGCATCTCGTGTCTCTAACATTCTGTCCCCTCGCTCCTCGCTCGAACCGGAAGTAGTTTCTGGCCCTGCCATTTTAAGAAGAGTCCCAAAGCAACTAAAGCTGCTTGGAGGAGAGAGGATTGAGGAAGGAGATCTGATGAGCAAGGATACACGAGAGCAGCCTTCAAGAAAGGCTGCAGCAGATCTGACTTCCATTAACATCAGCAGAGTTTGATAACAGAAAAAAAGCACATTAAAAAAGACGCTAAATGGACATAACGGACGCTTAAACAGACAATAAACACCTGTCAGTTTCTAAAGAGTCGGCATGTGATGAGCTGGGATTAAAAAAGGGTTTGGCATGAGGATGTTTGTGAGGAACACTTTTGACATTCATCTTCTTGTCAATAAAGTTCATATAAGGCTGATGTAATTAGTGGTTTTATTGTTGATTTTTCATGTTTCCTGAATTTTAAAACCGAATAAATAATTTTAGGAGTTTTTTTTATGGACGGATAGATTATGAAACATAATCATAAAATATTAAATTCACAAGATTATCAGTCAATACAAATCAAATCAAATAATAAATAATTTAATAATAAAGCATTCTTCTGTAGAAATGGTCTGTATGGTTTAAATCAGAGCTCAAACAGACTGCAGGGAGTTCATTGTGTGCAGATGTCTGTAATCAGGTAACATACAGATAATAAACACTGTTACTGTGTAATTAGAATTTATACAGTACACATGTGTGCATACACTTACAGCTGTAAAAGAAGACTGACAGCTGAGTGATGATCAGCTGAAGTCATCATGACAAACGTATGTCGCTATCACGTGATACTTCAGAGGAAAGGACGTCTCCTAAAACATATTTCCTTGTTCCCTCCCTCCTCGGCTTCATTTCCTTGAGTCTCTCCATGCATCTTTTGTGGGAGGGACGAAAACGCAAGTAAGGGATGCAAGTGAATGAATGCAACTTAGGAGTCATTGGACGTACCCAAGGACAAAGAAAAAAGAGGAAACTTGTAGCCTAGGCTCGCTCTTGACACTGCCGGGTTTAAAGTGGTTGTTATGTTGAATTGCACGTGCTATGCTAAGTTACAATTACATTGCTCAGTTTTATAAATGTGTATGAACAAAAATGAATGGCTTGAGGGGATACTATCTTACCTTATCTGTTGCTCCATGGCTGATTAGAACTCTTTTCAGCATCGGCTACATGGGACTGGATAGATTTACACTAATCAGGTAATCAAATTGGTTTGTGGATTGCTTCAGGTACAGTTTAATGAGCTGCTGTGGATGACTCTTGTTGGGCTGCTTTCCCTTTCCATAATTGAGCAGAAAAAAACTTTGTACAAAGTCACATCAATTCTTTAGCCTGAAGAAATTGCAAAAATGAAATTTGTTTCTGATTACATACAGATCTAATCGCTTGTACAGAAGCGGTACACAAGAACAATTATGGAGATGGTGCTTTTCACTAAAGCTATAAGTAAAGTTTGATATATTGGACAGTTTATGGGCATAGCTTTGATGGGAACCCCCTCTATTCTATTGGGTAACTCTTTCCCAGCCCGAATGTGAAAACACCAGATGTTTCTGTAAGAAGCTGGTTCCTGATTGGTTACAGATTCCATTACCTTTGCAGCAGAGAGGAAAAATCCAGAGATTATTGAAATCTTGGATGCATGTAAGACCTTTAAAATTAAATATGAAAAATCTTTGAATGTCTCTGACGTTAAAAAATACATACTACAGCTGCGCAGTTGATCACAATTTCATTGCTATAATGATCTGAGCATTCACAATAAACACATCCCAAAAGTCTGTGTGCATGCTGAGTGAGAAATCATAGCTTATTTACATTTCCGGTTACACTTTAAATTAAGGCCACAATATTCACTATCAACTAGCTGCTTATTAGCAGCATACTGGCTGCTTCTTAGTCATTATTAAGTGCTAACCTGATTCTACATGACCTTATTCTGTAGCTAATAGGCCATTAATTACAAGTTTACTCTCAGTAGTGCTGCTTATTCATGGTAGGTTAGGAAGTTGTTAAACATGAATTATGATCTTACTATGATTTTTTTTCGAAAACCCCTTATTAAGTAGAAGTAAGCGAAAGCATTTTAAGATCACAATTCAATTCAACAACTTCCTAACTTCCTATCAATGAGCAGTAATAAGGGGAGCATTGAGGGCAAACTCTTATTTAATGAACTATAAGCTACAGACTATGGTCACATAGAGTAAGGAACTGCAGCTACTATGTTAATAATTAGCATGCTAATAAGCAGCTAATGAATATCGTGACCTTAATTTTAAGTGTTACCGGATATAATTTTTGTGGAATTAACAACAGTACTTTCTCACTCAGCATTCATACATTTTACTCATTGGTTGGAAGCCTGGCTGTAAGGTCCAGGCTTTCACACCATTTTGATGCAGTCAAATGAAGTTCAAGCTAGCTATCAGATACCCTCAGAACAATTGAGGCCAAAATGCTTGTTGGTTATATTTTGGATTCAGAAGAATCATGATGCAAATACAGGTATTGTGTGAAACATAAAGAACAGCAGATAAACATAAAGACTGTGAGTTATAGCTAAGATTCACTTGAACGACATGATCGCACATTGCATATTTTTCCTTCACTGTGCTGGCAGAATACTCACTGTATTCATATGGCTTTTCTTTGTAATAATGCTTATAATATTTGGTGGTTAGTCTATCTTAGAAGCAGCTTTACATAATACTTTCTACATAGATGGATTCCTCAGCATGCTCCTCTTTGTGCCCCACAGATCAGCTTCCAGCACTGCTCCAGAGCCTGGCTCAACCAGCAAGGTGTGAATCCTGCCACAGTGTGAAGGGACCCCCAGGGGAGCAAGGAGCACCAGGACCCAAAGGCTCCATGGGAACTCCAGGCTACCCTGGCAGGAGTGGATCTCCTGGATACCCAGGACCGCCTGGTATGCAGGGTTCTGCAGGCCTAAAAGGTAAATTGATCCCTGATTGGAACCTCAAGGCAGGTGAATATAATCTGTATTCAGTGCTTGTGTTAAAGCCAGCGGTCTTTGATTCACTGTCTGAAACTTTGACAAAAATGTTTCAATCACTTTCTTTACCCTGACAAAAACAAGACAGTAAATAACAACACAACTTCAGGAACAAGAGCAAGGACAAAATTTACCGCCGCTTTCATCAACGATTAAAATCAAAACGGTGTCAACGAGGAACAAATTGGATGTGTTGATGTTCACTGTACCCCATAAAACAACATCATTAAACAAGTGAACATCAGTGAAAAGTCAGCAGAGCAAAAGACAACAAATACAAAATGCATACCCATCTCATTGAGCTGTCGTTGATTTATCACCACTTCAAGACAGAGAGTGGCTAATCATCCGTGACAGACGCCAAACTGTACCTCTCCACTGCTATGTACCATTTCCACTCAATGGCTCAGGATCATCCGACACTTTAGAGGTGTCAAAATGAGGGAAGAGACTGAAAGATAAAGTGGAAATTTAAGTTTGAGAGAGATGGAAATTCACCAGCAAGGGAGGGTCTACAAAATGACTCTCATCAAAAATGAACGTATGAAGTATAGGATCGAGAATCTTGGAGCTTCTCAAGGTTTTTTAAGGAACTAAAATGTAGAACAATTTCATCAAGTCAATGAAGCAGATGGCGGACTTTTATGGCTTTTGCAAGTTGCTACACTTAATAGAAATACAGATCAGTTAAAAAGAGTACTGGAGATCTATTCAGGCAATATTGTTTGAAGTATGTTTAGGCGCAAGTGTTGGGGAGGGGGGAAGGGGGTGTTAAACTCAAACAATCATAGTCAATCCCGCCCTCACGACAAAGATATGCCTCTGGGAACGGATGCCATTTTCTCTGTAATTCTGGTGAATTCAGCTGTTAGCAATAAACGACTTTCAGCCGAGGCTTACTTTTGTCCGTGTGCTGTTTCTTGGTCTATAACATCACCTGGAGTAGGTCCTGTTTGTCTGTTTCCCAAGAGTCCCAGTTCAACAATAGAACATTAGGGGCGCTGGTGGAGCAGTGGTTAGTGTGCGCGCCCCATGTATGGAGGCTGTAGTCCTCCAAGCGGGCGGCCCTGATTCGAATCTGACTTGTGGCTTATTTCCTGCATGTCATACCCCACTCTCTCTCTCCCTGGTTTCTGACTCTATCCACTGTCATATCTCTAAAAATACAGGCATAGTCAGAAAATACTATTTCTGTTGAATGGAGGTCAGATCGATCACTTCTGATGCTTTTCAGGTATAGTGTCGTGGAGCAAGAGCTCTTAAATAATTGGACAGACACTTATGGCTTTATGAATCGAGGATCTGTTTATTTCACTGGGAGCAGTTCTTTTATATCATCACCATCATTCTTTTTTGGGCAATCAAACCACCAAGCAATTACAGCATGTGTACTAAAAAGAACTAAAGAACATTATCTGGAAAGGCAGGTGGTTTCATAACAGGATGTGTGTGTGTGTGTGTGTGTGTGTGTGTGTGTGTGTGTGTGTGTGTGTGTGTGTGTGTGTGTGTGTGTGTGTGTGTGTGTGTGTGTGTGCGTGCGTGCGTGTGTGCGTGTGCACGTGTGTGTGCGTGTGTGCATGTGTGCGTGTATCAAAACAGGATCTTATGATATGGCTGAACCAAAGGTCAGATAACAACTGGTTCGTGCCTGTTCCTGCCAAAGCTGTGTACCTCTGTTATACTTCAATCTTTCTTTTGCTGCTTGGTTGTCCATCAATCGGAAGCTTAGCAGTTTGATCCTCCACAAGGTGAGGTGTCCTCTAGGAAGACAGTGTACCCCAAGTTATTCCTGAAAGCTATTCCCTTGACGAGTGAATCAGTATGATTTGATTAAATCAGATCCTGATGGGCAGATTGGCAATCGTGCTTCAGCATGGTATGACAACATTGTCAGTGTGACCGTGCCTTAAAGCACTTTGAGTGGTTGGAAGAACAGATAAGGACTATTTGAGAGAGGTTCATTATCAATCTTTGGTTTCACACTTCTGCAAAGACTGACATTTTTTGTACAAGTACATAAATGGTTTGGTTGATAAGATAAACCTCGTCATGACCCTTTCTAAAAGTCCAAGAGGTACAACATTGATTATGCCATAAAGCTGCCCCCTTCAGTGTTTGAGGACACAACTTATACCCCAACTTCCAAATAAGTGCTGAGATAAAACTTGATGACATCATATTCAAGTTGAAATAAAGAATAACAGAAGTACATTCCTTTAGTTTTATCATGCAGACTCTTACACAGCACATGACTGGACATAGAAAGCTTGAAGGGAAAGCTATGCATTTCTTGTATTTCTTCTGCTATTTTTTTTTAAAGCAGTCATATTTTTCCCCCAGGTGACATCGGACCAAGGGGCCTCAAAGGCAGCAAAGGGGAAGGGTACCTTGGACCCCCAGGACCACCTGGACAGCCAGGTATGTAAAAAGCCCACCAATCAGCATGTTATGTCTTTACCCAATTAGCTGTTATGTGGAGTTGGAGTAGTCTGAGCAGCCTCACCATGGTATTTGACGTCTGATCTGTGCTTCATTGCACTTTCAACAAAGATGAATCATGGTTGTTTGTGGTCTCATATATTTTAATTGACATGGGAGCGAGCATTGTTAGTATTTAATTTTCATCCAGTACTCTTTGTGACAGCTTGGGGAGGTGGGGTGAAGGAGAAGAGAGGGCATGTCACAGACAGTGTGTGCTGTATATCTCTGTGGAAGCTATAATAGCTTATTAACTCTTCCCATAATGTATGAACAGATGTAATTAATGATCCATCATGTGATATTTTTAGTTCATAGAGCAAGAACTATGGTAACGCTTAATGAAACCTTTCACTTTCTTTCCGTTAATGAGGCAGAACCATCACCAGCTGTGTTTTCCTTATTTTCTTCTTTCTTTATCGCTGCAGGAATTCAGGGTCCTCGCGGTTTCGATGGAGTTGGCCATCCAGGAAATCAGGGCATTCCTGGAAAACCAGGACCACCAGGAGACCCCGGTAAACGAGGGAACCCGGGGCTTCCAGGGGTTTGTGATCTTTCCATGTGTTATCAGACCTACAACCTCAGGGAACATTACAGCAAAGGACCAAATGTCTGATGTTCAAGCAATGTGTGGGAGGCTGCTATTGACTCAAACACCCAGGTGTTTCCAGGAACGATTTACTGAATCACTGATTTACAGAGATGTGTGTGACTGTTGAGTCTGTTATGACAAAGTGTGTATGGAGAACAGCTGCTCTGGAGGCACAAACAACCTCATTAGTTGAAATAAACTGAAATAGGAAAGGCACTGGTTCATGATAATGAACAGCATGCTAGCAGCCTAGCTTACTGAGGTACCAGACAACTAGGTCAACTCTCTTGTAAAACTTTCTAAGTTTGAGTAAGGCTCAGGAAAGAAAAAAATATAAGGCTTTTTGTAAATCATTGCCCATGGATATGCAATCTGTGAGCACAGAGTTATAAACTGTGCAAACACATTGGTAAACTGTGCAGAGTTCTGCTATCTGTGGGCACAGCTTTGTAAACCACAGAAAAGTTTAGTAAAATGTGCACACAGATTTGCAAAGTGTACGCAAGGAGATGCAATCTGTGTGTATTGGTTTGTAATCTGTGGGCACAGAATGCATAATTCTTACCTAAGCTTTACCTCATCACTAAATGATGAAGTCTGTGTACCTCTTATTTTACTTGACTTATCCTTAATGTTTGAGCTAATAATTTAGGCTATGCTAGCAAGACCAGATGCTAACAGGTTAACCTCAACAGGATTTTGTCTAAACATCTGCAACAAATCTTTAACATACAGTTGTAAAATAAAAAAAGAGGAGGTCCTAGTCTGAGAGATTACTGTATATGAAACCTGAGGCTAATAAAGCAATGGAATTATATTAGCCTGATCCTGACGAACTTGTGCCAAAGTACACGTCAAATGAGTATTTATTCATTGAATAATTATCTATCTATCATTTACCGCAGAATGGTAAAACTGTACACAGCATACCTGTGGTATGATCCAATGAGGTAATGTCAACTTGTGAGACTATTTCTGCCTTCAGTTCAACTGACTCAGTGAACTGATTGTATCTACAATTTCTGTGGAATTTAGAGAACATTTCAAAACACCAATTCTTGTGAAATCATAGCTGGGGTTAGATTATGGTTTTTGGATTATTATCTCAAAGATTATCCATAGAGCATGGAGCATTCTTGGTTTGTGCTAAATGTCTTTTTGTATCTGTCATTATTTTCTAGTTTGCCAAAGAGTTATCGTGCATGCCTTTACAATGCATACACGGCCATACATTCTTAAAAATTTACTTCAGCAGCAGTAGATTTTCTTAAGAATTTAACCTGTCCCCGTTTTTATTTTACTCCCATTTCAGTTTGCTGTTGAGGATCTTTGCCGTTTTAAACTGAAATTATTAACTTAACATGTCTTCATTATTAATGTATTGTATTTCATTTCCACAGCAAAAAAACAAACATCAGTAGTAACAGTCGTGTTATACTCATAATATGACTGCAGCATAAAGTCACTCTTCTCACACATAAAAGTTGAAGTCATTCAAGAAAATGTGAATGGAAATTAGATTTCTCTTGAAGAGAAACAGAAGAAGATGGAAGTTTGGCAGCCTTAGCTATTTTCTAACTTTTTCAATTTTATTTAAACACTTGTAAGACGGCACACCATTTGACCAAAATCATTTCAATGTAACTGCAGCAATCAGTGGTTCTTTTTTTGCAGTGACAAGTAAACATGCAAATCTGAAATATATATTATGTTGAGTTATACTGTTGATGTGTTATTTTGAATCATTTACTGACGGCTACTGATCCTAAGGGTGCAGACATTTAAGAAAATAGAAAGGAAAATAACGTGATCTGCAGACCGAGTTGAGGATATCTAAAATGTGTTTCGAAATGCCTGTGTTAAACAAGGTGCATTCATTCATTTATTTTGTTTGCTCATGGATTGCTTTTCAGCCTTTAGCGAAGTGAATACATTTATGTGGAATGGTTAAGCAAATGATAGCATGCAAGTTTTTTTTTTTTCAGGTTTACTTTTGGGCTTTTTTTAAATATATTTACTGTAGAGACAAGAAAGTGGCTAGAATCAGATATTCAGGGAGGTGGGAATATCATGCGGATTTGAACCCGGGCCATCTGCCTCGAGGGCCAACGCCTCTGTACATGGGACCTGCAAACTAACCGATGCCACATGGCGACCTCCTCTTAAAAAACAAGAATTTGAGAAGTTTTCTTCTACTCTTGAGGACAGACCTGAAAAAAAGCTTGCTGGTTTACTGCAAATCTGCATCATGATGAAGACAGTGAGAGTGAAGCCGCTGTGTAGCTTATATTCTGCTGTTGAACTGAAACTCAGCAGATAAAGAGGCACTACTCTGGGATGTTATAGACCAAGAAATGACAGCGTTTACATTGCATTTACATTCATAGAGTGCTGAAAGGTTCAAAGACTGGGGTCACACTAACCTTTATAACTAGTTAAAAGCAACTACAATTTGTTTCTTTACTTTTCTATGGCCCATTTAAAGTCATTGTATTCAGTAAAAAGAATTCAGATCAACCATTTTTAGTCACATCATCTCTATGAAGTTATGGCGGTACATCAGGAGCAGTTCTATGGAGCCAAATTGAGCAGCTGTTTCTGTTCCAGGTAGAGGGATTTAGCAACAATAAGCTGCCACAGCATCATATTAGCTGATACAGACAAAAAAACAGAAACATGCAACTACAGAAATAAGCAGTTTAGCGATGTATTAGCAAGGAGAAAGACATATTTTTTCTTAAGCATTCAGAAGACAGTCAATTCCATAGCCATTTAAGGGGCATTCTGGTTGTTTTATGGAAAATGGCTCTTGTCCCAGTTTCCCCAAAAGAGAGACATAAAAAGTCAGTGTATGGTGAGGCCTGATAAGACAAACATGTCATCAGAAAACTCTGCCAAACACTTGGAGCCCTTCCAAATGCCTGGTGGAGTCACAGACGTGTTTGCACCTCTCTTTTTGGTTCAGACTTCAGGATCCCAGTTTCCTTTCTGTTGTTGTTCTCACCTGTTATTGTTGTCTTGTCAATAAGCTTGGCAGATTTCAAAGTATCAGCGCTGTAAGCAAGAGTACAGAGTCTTTGAAGTAACACAAAGTGGGAAGAATTTAAGCAAGCATAAAGCCAACATACCTGCTGGAAGAGTAACAATGTTAGACTAACTCTTTGCATGTTGCCAAACTTTGCTTTTAGCTTTCAGCTTCTTGGGTTCTTAGACTTCATCCCTCATATTATTTAAATTTAGAGTAACATTTTAGAGTGAGCAGCCCCTATTGATGCTTTTGTTGCTTATCACATCCCATTCAAAAGTTTGATGAAACAAATAAAATAGTCATTTATTTTAGTAACCTAAAAAACACTTAGGTTCATCCTCTTGGGATTAGACATGTGCTAACTAAGAAACCTTCAAAAAATGTACATTATATTTTGACTTGTGGACACAGTGACTGCGTTTTTATGCACACTGAGAAATCTGGTTATCCATACCCCTGTATAGTTATTCAAACAATATTTCTGTCTACAAGCTCCCCAAATTATGAGAAAAGTCCATCCTCTCCATTTTTTTTGCCTTTTCAGATGTGTGCGTGGTCCGACACAGATCATTTATATTTAAAGGTACAGACACAGAAACAGCCTGTTTTGAACGGGGGTGAAATTGAGGGGTTTATAGGCATGATCAAATACAGGATCAGAGTGGATTTAAACAATACACTTCACACACATGTTTTGGGGACCCCTGAGACTCATTTAAACTGGTTGAAAAGGAGGATAATATGGGACCTTTAGTTAAAACTGTAAGTATGAGTGAAGGAAATTTAATTACCAAATGTCAAACATGCTGGTTCCAGCTTCCAAACTTAAGAGTTCTGGACTTTTGGCTAACCAAAAAAAAAAAGCTATAGCTTACTGTAAAAAATCATATTGTGCTCTGGATCAATACGGATGATGATTTTTCATAATTTCTGGCATCGTACTGACAAGAAAATATTCCTTAAGTATTGGAAATACACAGTACGGATTGATAGTGAAAATAATATCACATTGCAGCCATACCTGTTGTTGCAATCTGGGAAATGTAGGATCCAGGAGTCCCGGAGCTCAACACATGCTAGAAAATAAACGTCAGGATTCCTAAACCTCTTGTGCTTCTGTTATAACGTACGATGTTTAATCTGCCTTTTGCAAATTCCCTGACTTTACAGAAGATCACTACTTAAAAGATAGAAAGAGCAACCCTTTAAACCAAATGTTTCATCATCAGCAAACAGGAAGTTCATCAACAGTTTTCTGTCAACAAATTCTTACAGCAAATGACAAATGGCATGTTTGTTGGTGTCTACCAACAATGCAAAATGATGTTTTGCTGACCTGGCCATAGGTAAATTGTAGGGAAAAGAGCCTGAGAATGATGGTTGAGGGTGAAATAAAGTAAGACTGATCGTTGGTATGAGATCGGACGAGGTCTCTGGCCTGAAAGTCAAACTCCTACCTTCAGCTTTTTGCAGCACTACTTCACTGTCATGCTACTTTTGCTTTTTTTCACAGAGAAAGCTGCAGTCCTGTTCTGTTGTTTCTTCTGCTGAATACAGTCTCATATTTAATGCTGTGACTGAAAGATGTAGCCTAGGTTTGGTTTTTAACACAGTATAGCCAGTATATTCTTTTCTTCTGATATAAATGAGTAAGTTCTGACACTTGCTGTATAAGATGTCAGCATATCAGTTAAGGTCATCAATGCAGTCGGTGCTATGTTGGGGTTTATTTTCCTGTGCGGATGGGGACATGTTTAGTTTCCTGTGCAGAGGGTGACAAGATTTGAGTTGAAGTTTTTCAATGTGATTAAAAACTTTGTGATTACACTCAAAACACACACTTACAAGGTTCTTGTCCAGGATATTTTGCATTATGTTGCCCGTGTTCTGTATTTGTGATAGACTTTTAAAAAAATGCGTCAGTTAATAACCTTTTCAAATTGTTCATGATAATATCCGTATGCTGGAGAAATGTAATGTTTACAAAGGTATTTTT